TAATTTGTAATAAATTTTATATTTTAAATCTCTCTCACACTCATTTTTATATTGATATTTCATTGAAAGTTAAAATATATATATATGTTTCAACTATAATGGAGCTGAGCGGTTTGATTGGGGGATTATAAATTTAAAGTTTAAATCGCAATTAGTGGTTAGAGTGGTGCGAATTGATGCGAATCGGTGCAATTTTAGCTGATTGGGTGCTATTTTGCACAGCCTTACCAGTAGCAGAGTCAAAAAATTAAGTTAGAAGGGATACTTATTAATTATAATTTTTTATTTAAAAAAAATCATGAGCAACAGTAAGATAATAATAATTTTATGAGAGAAATTTTAAGATAAAAAATTACATATTCATTATTAATAAAAACAAATCAAAATTCTATAATAGTGTAGAATAGCTCGGCGTGTGATGATGATGTAAGTTTGCAATTTTAGTACAAAAAATTTTGGATCAAAATTCCTAATTTTAAAAAATAAAAACACATCATTTATAGCACAAATTATTATAAAATCTATTTAATTTTTATTTGACAGAAAAATATTAAAGAGATGACATTGCTTATAAATAATGTGTTTTGAATGAAAATTATTAACAGTCTTATAGTACCATATGGTGTTGCCTACGTGATACTCAAAACATAGAAAATTACAACTCATACTAAAGTGGTATGTCAACTATTTGAAAATAATGAGTTTATTATATCCGATTTATAATCTTTTTCGCTACACTAATGATTTAAACTACTACATAAACAATACCATAGTGTTCCCAAAATATCAAATAATTACTTGTTGTGAATAATATAATAAACCTTTAGTCAAAGAACATGTTAAGAAAAAAAATACATTTTATACATGACAATAATCAAAAAAAAAAAAAAAAATTCAAAACTAAAGTAGGGACGTGATTCCTGACCCTGCTGTGTCTCCGCCGTGACCCAACCACTGTTTGGTTTTTGTAGCAGTGGTGATGGAGATCTTCATGGCCATCAGTTGGGGGAAAATTGTATCCATTAGGTGGCGAAGAATCATGGTCCAACATTTGTTTGATCTTTACAAAAATGGATGTCTTTGTGACCCTAGGGTGGTAGAGGATCGTGACCACTAAGTAGCTAATATTGTGATCTTTGCTGAGTAGTAAGAGAGAAAGAGGAGAGAGAGTTGTATTGGGGGAGGGCAATACGGTAGAAGTAGATGGCGGAGGATGTGAGTAATGATGACATATGAGAAAAAAAATTAAAAAAATGGTGATAATGGGTATGCAGAGAAGAGGGTGATGGTGGCAGCTGGTGGCAGCTGGTGGAGGTGAAGGGGAAACCAATGTACCGAAGATGTGGTGAAGGGTCGATCCAATAGGCATACAATTGACAAAATGGTAGTTAATATAATTAAGATAATTTTTAATTTGACATCATGTTAAAAAAATAAATAAAAAAACATCACGGGTTCAAAAAAAGTATAAAAATTTTCTAGTCTTATTTTTGAAATTTGACGGAACAATAATGATTTAGACCACTAAAAAATATATCATTAATAGTACTAATATATTGGAAATGATAAATAAATAAATACAAGGCGTAGAAAGTGGGCGGGGCCCACTGCCACATCAGTAGTGCTCTCTCTAGTGATCTCTTTTTAGTGTTCCCAAACATTTTTCTTTGACGGAAAGTGGCTGGAATCAATTTAGATGATGAATATTTAAATTTTAAAAAAGAAAATGATATATAAATTTATTTTTAAATCCATTTTTCAGAGTCAATGATGTATTAAGAAAAGTTGTAAATATCAATCAATTATTTTCTTGACACATCATTAGATTTAGAAAGTAAGGTTTAGTTTGGCAATCTAAAAATAATTCATCTTTTTATCTTTTTTTCATCATATCACTTATCTACTTTTTTGTACATTTTTTCGTAAAAAGACAAAAGGTACACTTATTTAGGTCATTCCAAACAACTTTTAGGTCTGAATAGTAATACTTAAGATAAATCTTAAAAATTTAATTTGTTGCACAAGTTAAGTCTTAATTTTTTTTTCATATATTTATTTGGTAATTTTTGCAATAAAAAATGGGGTGAATTGCAAATGCACCCCCTAAGGTCTGATTAAAATACGAATCACCCCCTATAGTGTTGGAAATTACATTTTACCTACTGAGATTTCTAATTTCATAACAAATGACCTATTTTATTAATAATTATCAATTTAATTAATAGTGTTTAGTCATGCTAGAAATTTGTTTTAATTAATAATTTAGGTAATTTAGCTAACTATAAATTTTATTTTTTTAGTTAATTTTGTTAAATAAAAAATATTAATAAAAATATATTTGTAATCTTTCAAATCACAAAGGATAATTTGTATTTTAAACAAATCTAATAAATGTATTGGTAATTTATCTAAAAAAAAAAAAAAACCAATAAAAAATTTTTGAAAATTGAATTGAAAAAAAAAATATTAATAAAAAAATAAAGAAATGCCAGCACAGCAGCTAAAAACACTCTCTTTCTTCTTACCTTACGCCATTAACGCCAACAGTGACTGATGATGAATGGTCATTCTCTCTCTCTCTCACTATCCTCCGTTTTCCTCTCTCTAGAAAAACAAATCTTGGTAAAGAGTCAGTTGTCAGGTTAGGGTTTTTATAGCATTTTGGAGACAGTTTCAGAGACCACTAACAGTATGTTTGGAAATTTATGAGAGGAAAGAAAATAAAAGGTTATTTAAATAATAAGAGAAAAGGAAGGAAAAGAGAAGAAAAGAAATGATTGTAATTTTTTTCTTTATTGTTGGATAAGAAAGAAATAAAAAAAATGATTGTAATTTTTTTTGTTTGATTAGGTTTCATTAAGAAAAAAAAAATTTATTTTATGTTATATTACCAAAATAACCTTTTTATATTTTTAATCATTTTATTTTTTTTATTTTTATAAGGACAAAATTAATATTATAATGATTTCTTTTTTCTCTCAATCTCTCCATTTTTGAAAAGATTAAAAATGAGGCTCACAAGAGAAATGAGTTTATCTCAATTTCTCTCTATTTCGTTTCATTTCTCTCTACTTAAATTATCCGAACAAATAAAAAAAAATACATACCACTCCATTTCTTTTGTTTTCTCTCCAAATCAATCAATCCAAACATAGTGTAAAAGAAAGAAAACCAGATCAAATTCCTCCAGATAAGGTGTGGAAGCTTCACTTCTGTTCTTTCCTTTGATTCCCTCTTCTTATATCTGTCTTTTATTTTTTTGGCTTTATTCAATAATGTTATATATGTCTTCTAGATTTGTTGAAGTTTCCTAATAGAACATCATAGAATCATTTTGTATCTTTAGACCCTTCAATTCCTGTGTTTTTTTGGGTTTCTTGCTTGATGATTTTTAGGTGAACATAATCTGTAGATTTAGATCCAATTTTGATGGGTTTTTTTTTTTTTCTTTAGATCAAGAAATGAAACATATTTATTTTTATATTGGTCTCTGATTCTGTAATTTTTTGGGGGGGCCTCTTTTTCTGTAGATATAACCAGTAAAATTTGATGTTTCAGTTTCAGATTGAATTTTTGATGGGTTTCTATTGGGTTTGATTCACATATATGGGAAGAGCTATATTTGATGGTAATCTTTTTTGTTGTGGGTTTGGTGAAAAAGATGCTGAATTTTGAGAGTTCCAGATTGGTTTGTTGATGGGTTTTCAGTAGATTTTGATGTTAATCACAGCTTCATTTATTTAAAGTTTGTGAAAATGGAGAAGCAAACTAATTTTGGTTGTGGGTCTGTCGTGAATTCGGGTAGAGAAATGAAATTAGAAGAAGAAGAAGATTTCCGGAGTTGTTGCGAAGATGAAGATGAATTGATGGAGAGGGAAGAATCAGCGAAGGAAAGTTCAAAGGACATTCTTGATGAAGGTTCAGTGAATATGTTCTTCAAGGGTATATCGATAGCTAAGGCTGGAGAATGTGGCACTGGGCTTTCCGGGATTGGGGTGGTTATGGAAAGATCAGCTAATGTTCCTTTGATTCAAGTACAGAAAAAGCTTGATTTCTATGTAGATGAATCGGTTGCTAACTATTTAGCTTTGATGGATGGTCTGTTAGAGGCTGCACGAAATAAGATTGTGCGGGTGTTTGCTTGTACCGACTCTGAGATTTTATATAATCAGGTGAGCCATCTAATCCAGCTTTCAATATATACTTACGGTTTTTTACCATACATTCTTCAATTAGAGTCTGATGCAATTAATTCTGCTGCTAATGTAGTTTCTTTATGATCTAAATGTTGGTAAAATTTTGTTTCCGACTGAATATAAACATATGAACATATATCTTTCTTTGTGTCAACTAGAGGTTTTTTTTTCTTTTTTCCTCATGTTTGTGTCTGTTACCCATGATCTAAATGTTGATATGGTTTTTATTTTCTTTGTTATTTTGAGATATATGGCTTTTTGAGCAGGCAATATTTTGTAGTTTTTGGTTTAAATGAAATGCAAAACCAGCATTTAATAAATGCTTAAGTTCCATTAAAAAAAAAAAAAAAATCGGATCACTTATCCCGTTTATTATGCCCTTATACATCTCTATGATTGAGATACAAAATTTATAAAGATTGGTTGTTTGTGTAATCCATTTGATTGGTTGGCTTGAAAACATTCTTGAAATTACCTTTCATAAGTTAAACAATAAAGAAAAAAATTTGAGCAGTAATTGGTATCTTTTTTCTTTTCTAATTTTTATGTTGATGTTAATTATCTCCAAGTACCAACATATTTTCTGTGTATTGTTTCATACGTCTCAAAGTGATATGACTTTTTGACAGATTATTAATGGGGAGAAACTCGATAATCCACTTCTCCTAGCATTGAGGCAAAGGATCCTAGAACATGCGGAAGATCTGGAAGCCTTTGTTCTTAAGTTGGTTCCCCACATAGACCTAGAAAGGCCATTATGCTTGGCCCAAGTGGCGATTGGGGTTGTCTCTTTTCCTGCTGAGGGAGATGAATCATTTGAAAATTGTTCGATATGTTGCGAGGAGAAGCCATTGCAGATGACTATCACATTGAAATGCTCCCACAAGTTTTGTTCCCATTGTATGAAAACCTATGTCGATGGGAAAGTGCAATCTTCTCAAGTCCCCATTCGATGTCCTCAGTTACGATGCAAATATTGTATCTCCATCCCTGAATGCAGATCTTTTCTTCCGGTTGCCTCATATGAAATGTTAGAGAGAGCCCTTGCAGAATCAAACATTCTCAATTCGGGCAAAATTTATTGCCCCTTTCCAAATTGTTCAGTTCTCCTCGATCCTCTTGAATGCTTATCGACAAGGGCGAGTTCATCGAGTCAGTCAGATAACAGCTGTGTGGAGTGTCCGGTCTGTCAGAGATTTATCTGTGTGGAATGTGGGGTCCCTTGGCATTCTTCGATGAGCTGTGAAGAGTATCAAAACCTCCCTCTGGATGAGAGGGATGCAGCTGACATTACTCTGCATCGTCTGGCAGAAAGCAATAGGTGGAGGCGCTGCCAACAGTGCCCGCGGATGATTGAGCTAATCCATGGTTGCTACCACATGACTTGTTGGTAAGATCACTTTCTTTAGATATATAGACGCTGCTGTTTTTCTTTTTTATTTAAAAATAATAATCTTCTTAAAATCGAAACAAAAAAAAACTACTATAAAAAGGAAACTAAACGGTATTATTTTAAATGTACTATTAAAGTTGGATAAGTAAGTTTAAATAGAAATTTTCTTCCCTCTTCTACATATGGGTCGCCCTTCTACATGCGTGCATGTTAGACAAGTTAGCAGTTTGGCTCTGAAGTAAAATCATAAATGTATCTTTAGAGCAGTGATGGAAAGAAAGGCGTTACATACCTGCACGACATGAAAATAATCTCATTTAATAAATCCATTTATGGTGGGATTTTTTAATTTTCTTTCAAACCAACCCTTCAAAGTAGTATGTGATGACAATATTTTGGCAGTACTGTTCACACCTTATTTTTGTTTGAGGGTCAAAAACCTTATGAAAAGCTATGTAATATGGACTCTTCTAAATTTGTGAAGTATCTGTGTCAAACTGGATCCTGGGGTTAGGGTGTGAGATGCATTCCATCATGCTATTGCACATGCACCCAACATTTTACTATGAAATTATGCACAAAATGCTCTATGCTAGTCTGCGAATAGCATTAATTTTTACCCTAAATAAATGAAAGAAGTATGAAATTTACCCATGCCTTGGTGTCATTGTGCATGAGAATTAGATGAACTTGACACTTGGACACGTACTCGCATCTGACCGTACCCAAGATGCATGTAAGAAGTGTGAATTTTTTTTTAATATTTTGATTATAATTATTTTTATGCCCCTACTAGACAAAAACCCTAGATCCGTCCTTATTAGCTGTACCCAAGCCCATGTAACATAGATGACTAGTCTGGAGTATCAGCTATTAGGAAAAAAAAAAAAGACCTAATAAAAAGGGGAAAAAACTGTAGAGATATCCACCAAAGTGGACTAGATTTTCCAGTTCCCACCAAAGTTTCCTTCCTCTCCTTTGCTTGGAGATTACTCAATGTCTCATCTCTTTACATTGATGGAAGATGGCTTTTTGACTGGGCTTTTTCTGGTGTTTATTAGCCAGTCTTGGGTGGAGAGATGCCGACCAACAAGGAGAGGTGGTCAAAGCCATGGTGCATAGAAGGGGAATTTAATGTAATTCAATTTTCGGTTAGAGAATGCTTGTGTTCTGCTATTACCTTTTCTCTCATTTGTATTTATGTTTTATGTCCATGTGCCCAGACATGCGGATGTGCTTTCTTTTTGTGTTTGCCCATGCACGGCTGTAAAACAAGAGTGGTTTGTTATGGATTATATGTTCAGATTGAAATTTGTTATGATATATCATTTGAGGGAGACAATATTCCCTAAAATATTGACCTTAAACTATGTTCAACAATTCTCTCAACACATTAATCTAAGAAGTACGGATACATACATAAAAAAGTGATGGTGATTCTTTCCACTTCCCCCACCCCCTTTTCCTCTCTTTTATTGTGTGTGTGTGTTTTTTTTCACTTTTTGAAGTTCTGATTATGTGATTTGTGTCTGCAGGTGTGGGCACGAGTTCTGTTACTCATGCGGTGCTGGTTATCGAGACAGCCAACAGACATGTCAGTGTGCATTCTGGGATGAAGACAACTCCGAGGACTTGGTCGCTCACCCAACCCAAGAATCTGAACAATGGGCATGGGATTCGTTCGACTCACTCCCCATGATTATGGATGCTTACACTGATCATGAGAGATCACAGCTGGCGCTGATCCAGAGGTTCCTCGCAGGTGGATTCGGTCTGAGCGATCATCACCCTTATCAATCGCCACCTCGCTGTACAGACTCTTATGTCGATGCAATGAAGGATCTTCATCAGCTTCCTTGGCTCGAAAGGTTTGTATCGGTAATTAGCGACAACTACTATGATTAATACATTCAATGAAGCGAATGTAGCGCTGGAACGTTCCAGAAACTGGAAATAAGCCGCTTTGCTTCGTGGAAAACGCTGCGAGGAGGTAGAGAGTCTCACACGCTTTTACTCCATTTTAATTTTTAGTGACTACACAGAGTGGGCACTTGTACTTTGATATGTAGTTTTCATTAGTGATTTCTTTTCTTTTTTTCTTTCTTCTTTTTTTTTAAATGGGATAGTGATTTCTATGTTGGATGACCTTTTTGTGAACTTGAATTTCCTTGCTTTAATGGTGAGGAATTGTTGCATCATGATTTGCTTTCTTCTTCAAAGAGGATAGAAAAGAAAATTGAAAAATATATGTTGAATTACAGATTAAAAATCAATGAAACAAGCATGTTCATTTATTGTGGTTCTCTCCCTTAAATTTCCAAATAATTGAGATGTGTTGTCCAATGTTTTGAAATGGGTGTAAAATTGGTCCGGCTCAGGCTCAGCTCAGGTCCAGGCCCAGATACAATACCTTAGGTCTAGGCTCATTCCTAAGGCCTGGGTTTGTGGGCTTGCAGATTTTTAATTTTTTAAAATTTTATAAATTTTAGTGTAAATAAACATTAAAAAATTGTGACTTAGAAATTAAAAAAGAGAGTAAAATTAATGTAAATAAAATTAACTACACAAAAATGATAGAATACAAATGATGAATTGTATTTATGTTAATTCTCCTAAATTTGTAAATTAAGATTTTATTTATAGTGTGCATTTTCTTTTATGTTTTTTTTTTTTAATCAAACTAAACATGGGATTGGATATTCCGACTTTTGATAAAAATGACTTTCAATTCTTGAACCAAATATTGCTTAAGAGTTGTGCTATTTAGCCTTCGTTTGAGATGTGAGTTGATATTTTGATTTTTTAATTTTTTTTAATTTGGGGTTAAAAAGTCTTATTTGAGATGAATTTTTTTGATTTTTTTGACTTTTGTGAGAAAAAATAAAATAATTATGGTTTGGATATGATATTTTGTCTTATGATTTTTTAGTCTATTTTATGTTTTTGTAACTAAAATAGTCTTAAAATCACATGCCAAACCTTGGTCTAAAAATTTGCAACAAATCACAACTTACCACCTTAGATGTTTTCGAGCTGGGAGTGAACTTAAAGCATCATTTTTCATAAATTAGCTAAAAACAAAAGGTCACCTACTTTATGCATAAATTCATAATCATCTAAAGTTGCTAATAACATCGGCTAATTTCACTTTTCTCTTAAATTATTATTATTATTTATTTTATTTTCAAACTATCAATTTTATTTATTTAGTTTTCAAATTTTCTAATTTGAGTTAATGTGATTAGAGACAATTGTCTAAATCAGTAACCATTAAAACTTAATTTGATGAGTAAAAGAGTCATTTTAAAATTTAAATATGTTCTATGAAATGAAATGAGAAACACTAAAAATTACATCAATTCAATTGATAGTTTAGAAATAAAATATTAAAAAAAAAATTAACCATAATTTAGGAATAGTTAAGCAAGAAATCCCTTTTCTAAATCCACCAACCGCAACTTGGGGAGATTATTTGGTGTTGTGGGGATAATATTTTAGAGAAAATTACATTCTAGTGGGTAGAAAAACAAAATTTACACAAATATAAAGAGATGCAAGTTGCATTTCAAAACTTTTCATTTATATCTTATTACTGAAGCATTTGCATTTCATTTGTTTTTGTAAATTTTTATTTTTCTATCTCACTATGCTGTAATTTTCCTAATAATATTTTACTATAAGATGTTAGGAGATATTAAGAAATAAATTTTTAAGGAAAATATCGCAATTACTCTATTAATTTGAATTCCAAAATTGCTGACATTTTCACGGTTTAAAAAGACAATTATATGGACGGTTGAATCAACTATTCTATCCCTTTTTTTATCTTTCAAAAACTTAATAAAAATATTTAATTTTGTAATTTTAATTAATAAATATCAAATTTCCACGGCACATTGTCTTTTTAATTTTGGTGGAATTTTTTTAAGTTAAAAGTTGATAATTAAAAAATAAAAATTAAAAATTTATCTTAATTTTCAAATAATCAACTTTTTTCAATTATTTCTATTTAATAAATTATAAACAAAACTTATATCAAATAATTTGACACAAACCTTCGAATCAAAATAAATTATAACCCCCTCAAAAGCTATGAGCAAAACCACCAAATAATTTAGCAGTAACTTGGGGCACATGGATGGGACGTTGGGCGGCTGTCGCTGCCAACCACCAAACCGAAAGAGCGGAGATTAGCTAAAAACAAAAGGTCATCTAGCAAGGATCCTCTAGAGTTTTTTTTTCTTAAAGTTTCCTAGAGTGGTGTGTTGTATGGTTGAGATTTAATGACAAGTCATATCAATTTTTTAGCATTAAATCTCACCCATACAACACACCACTTTAGGAAACTTTAGGAAAAAAAAACTCTAGAAAATCCTTGGTGCTAAAAGGAGCTAATAACATCGGTTAATTTCACTTTTCTCTTAAATTATTATTATTATTTATTTTATTTTCAAACTATCAATTTTATTTATTTAGTTTTCAAATTTTCTAATTTGAGTTAATGTGATTAGAGACAATTGTCTAAATCAATAACCATTAAAACTTAATTTGATGAGCAAAAGAGTCATTTTAAAATTTAAATATGTTCTATGAAATGAAATGAGAAACACTAAAAATTACATCAATTCAATTGATAGTTTAGAAATAAAATATTAAAAAAAAAATTAACCATAATTTAGGAATAGTTAAGCAAGAAATCCCTTTTCTAAATCCACCAACTAGGTACCTTGATTGCTTTGGAGGCAACAAAGTTGAGTGGAGGAAAAAATGAAAAAAAATCACAAATCAATTCGATCCAAATCAAATTATATGGTTTGATTTGATTTGATTTGATTTTTTTCAATTATTTGGTTATAATTTTTAAATAAGACAAACTTTTTCTTTATTACCTTTTTTCTTTTTAAATTCTTATCCAATTTTATAATTCAAACACAACATTAGTGATTTGTCTAACCTATTTGTGCCAGCTCAACTCACCCAATAAAGAATTTAATCCAATGAGCAAAGGTTACTCAGGAAAGATTATGATGCACACTGTGTACCGTATGTACCTTAAAAATAAAGAAAAAAATGACATAATTTCATACTTTTCAAGTCATAACTAAAAAAGAAAAAATCATAACCAAACAACACATAAGACATAATTAAAGATCTCATGAGTCATAAGTAAAATAAATTTACAACTAAAAAAGAAAATTAATCATAACTAAAGAAGAAAATGACATAATTTAAATGTGCATATAGTAGGAGGGGTGTATAGTAGAATTGGCCTTCTCTTTTAACTAACACACTTGAGGAAAAAAGTTAAGACACTTCCTTTTTATACACAACTGCAAAAATTGAACTCATTTTGCTACATTTCTCAAAGTGACTGATCTAATGTAAGGTATTCAATAAACATAAATAAATGATCTAAATGTATCAAAATGATATTTGCACCAGTAGAGTAACATTGTCAAAATTTAACATTTTGATACTGTAAATATGTCAAATTATAATTTAGGCATTGCCATATTTTAAATGAACAATGGGAGTTACTCTAAGGAATGAATGTTAGCAAAAGAAAATTGGTAGTTCTTTTATTTTTCATTTTTTTTACATTAGAATATTTATGCTCCACACTTAATCACGGAGGAAAAATAAGTAAAAAGAAAAAATCATTACTACCATCCAATTGAATCAGCTTCATGATCACGAGTTTTCTTATGTTTCTCAGTACATCAATTATAAACAGACACAGAATGAAGTGAATAAGCATTGTTTTGTTTTTAGTTCTCCAGTTTCCATGATATTCAAGGTTTCAAAATTTTTCAGTTTCTTCAGCAGCGCAAAACATTCGAAAGAAAAGTAAAAATGGGATCGAATTGCACAACCCAAAGGTGGTTTTCCAAGAAAACGGGTAATCAAAAGATCGAATCACTATACTTGTCTTGGTGGTTCTTGTCTTCCTATTTTATTGATCAGAAGCATCCAACAATGCCATATTGATTTAGAATTCGATTCTAAGAGTTTAAAGGGTCATAAAACTTTCTATCAATTCAAAATTCATTGTTTCTTCAATGACAAGTGTACTAAAGATACAACACATGTTCTTTAAAATGTTTGCAAAGAATATGACAATAAAATAAATGTTCATCGTATAAGATATAACAAACAAACAACCATACCTCAAAATGCTATTTTTGTGATCTCTATCATCAACTTTCTTTACACAAAGAATCATCCTTGAAATATGCACCAACCAATCTCTGCCGGAAGGATCAACAAAATTTTCAAAAATCAAAAGCCCTGTTATCTACACTAATTGATCAAAATGTGTCCAACCTTTAACAAGAGATTTCATTTGAACCATAGCTAATTGCGCGTAGACTTGAGGCAGACATATTTGTCATCCATCTACGAGGGCCATTCGATTCGCCTAAGATATTATAGGCATAGGAAGGCCACCTTACATCCGTAGCACACGAGCTTGTGACGCCTGTTCTAATAATCTTTTGTGTTCTCTCAAGAACTAAAAGATTGGAAAATGTCGAAAAGCTGTTTCCTACAAACACATCGGCTCTCAAGCAAACTTCGTAATCAATAGCTGATTGAATGAGGTAAGGGTACCTCCTGTAAATTCCTGCTATGCCCAATTTCTTCTTCCCAAAGGGAAGCAAACCTTCCTTCCAACCGTCCAAGATAGAGTCATCTTCAAGAAGACTATCGGCCACAGCAAGGTAAACAACAATTGGGCTTTTCAGTCCTGCAATATTCCCAACTCGCTCCATAATCTCCTCCTTGCTGCTACAAATTTCGCTAATGTTCGATCTTTGCTCCATTTTCTTACAGTGAATCATCCAATCCTTCTCTATCCGCATGTGAACTGCTATATAAGGAACTGGCTCCAACACAGAATTCCCCAAAACAAATTTTCTTCCTATGTCTCTAATCTTGGAGACAACTTTATCAACTTCTTTGGATATTTCATCTACCAAACCTAAGCACTCGAAGACCATGGCGTAATCTTTAACGGGCCAGTGATCGTGCCACAGAAATGGGTTTTTCCCAACTATCTGAATTGTTTCATACCCGTCATATGGATCGTTGCTAAACTGTCTCAGTTGATCTAGGTCTCTCTCAACCGTCCACTTCCTTCCACTTCCCTTTTGAAGCTCAACAACATTAGACCGGTTTGAAAGATCTGTGTATTGGCCTAATTGGACAAACCCGTTGCAAAGCGAATTGAACCTTTCAAATTGGAAGACCTTGTCAAAGGAAATGGGTCGCAGAAGATCAATTTCTTTGTAAAACAACGAAGCACTTAGGCTCGGCATCAAAAGGGTTCGGTTTAACATTCTTGCAGTCAGGCAAGCTCTAGCAAAAGCAATCTTCTGATTGTTTAAACCCCATATGATTTGAGGAACCTCCAAGAACTTGAGTTTTCGAATTCCAAATTGTGAATTTAACGACAAGGAATCATTTGGGATCAACATTTTAACGCTGTTGTCATGTTCAATCCCACCAAATCCAGAGAATGTAGGGATCAAAACAGATCTAAGATTTTGCTAATGTTCGATCTTTGCTCCATTTTCTTACAGTGAATCATCCAATCCTTCTCTATCCGCATGTGAACTGCTATATAAGGAACTGGCTCCAACACAGAATTCCCCGAAACAATTTTTCTTCCTATGTCTCTAATCTTGGAGACAACTTTATCAACTTCTTTGGATATTTCATCTACCAAACCTAAGCACTCGAAGACCATGGCGTAATCTTTAACGGGCCAGTGATCGTGCCACAGAAATGGGTTTTTCCCAACTATCTGAATTGTTTCATACCCGTCATATGGATCGTTGCTAAACTGTCTCAGTTGATCTAGGTCTCTCTCAACCGTCCACTTCCTTCCACTTCCCTTTTGAAGCTCAACAACATTAGACCGGTTTGAAAGATCTGTGTATTGGCCTAATTGGACAAACCCGTTGCAAAGCGAATTGAACCTTTCAAATTGGAAGACCTTGTCAAAGGAAATGGGTAGCAGGAGATCAATTTCTTTGTAAAACAACGAAGCACTTAGGCTCGGCATCAAAAGGGTTCGGTTTAACATTCTTGCAGTCAGGCAAGCTCTAGCAAAAGCAATCTTCTGATTGTTTAAACCCCATATGATTTGAGGAACCTCCAAGAACTTGAGTTTTCGAATTCCAAATTGTGAATTTAACGACAAGGAATCATTTGGGATCAACATTTTAACGCTGTTGTCATGTTCAATCCCACAAAATCCAGAGAATGTAGGGATCAAAACAGATCTAAGAACCAAAGCAATGACAAGCAAAGCAACACATTTGCAAGGAATAGAATTCAAATGGGTACCGAAGAATCTCAAATGCTTACAATTCCACAAGTCCATAGTTATTCAATCTTGAAAACCCAATAATTCAATCATTTCAACTAAACAAATTCAAATCTCACTTTGAACCAACATAGTTGTTCAATAAATTCATAAGAAACCCATCTCAGTGTCTCAAGATATTCTTGAATATATACCCAGCAACAGAGTCATTTCGATAAGTGGATAATCACACAACTCTGATCTCAACATTTTGCTGAAAAATTCAAACAAACTCAATTTCACTCCAAAATCAACACAACATTAGTGTTTGGATCTTGGATTTGTGGAGTAAACTGTGAATAGAAAAGAAAAGGAAAGGAAAAGTGAATAAACTATATAAGCTGAATTTTTTTCCACAAATTCCTTCTCTTCTTTGTCTCACTAATCCATTCATAAATCAAAGATCCAAACACAGTCTACAATGACCCAACATTGAAAATACTCCAGGAACTCAAACAAAAATAATAATAATCATTGATTTCTCACCTTAATTAAATTGCATTACGTGATTGAGTGAAAACCCAGATGGCAATTTCAATCGCAGAAATCCGGCACTGAAACGATCAAGAGAGTGATTCAAATCCAAAAAGGAAAAAAAAAGATTTGATAAAAGAATCAGAATTCAGAGGAAACCCAGACGAGAAAAGTTTTAAAAAGGGGATGGGCGATCCGATCATGAATGGAAAGAAATCAAGACAAGGCAAATTCCCGGGAACCAAACACAACGCAATTAACCCATCACAATCATGACAACCAAGAATGAACAAGAAAGCTCTGGATAGGGAAATTGAAATCAACCCAAACCACAAAAAGATTATGAAAGAAGAAAAATTTAAAGTAGAGAAAGCAAATTCCTGGAAACCAAACACAACCCCATCACAATCATGACAACCAAGAATGAACAAGAAAACTCTGGAAAGGGAAATTGAAATCAACCCAACCCCACCCAACCCAACCCAACCCACAAAAGGGTTATGAAAAGCAAAACCCAGAAAGAAAGAAGATTCAAGAAGGAAATAAATGAGGAGAGGAATAGGAAGAGTATGTTGGTCTGGGAAATTTGGAGATCAGAGCAGAGGAGGCAACTGGGAAAAGACAAGAAAAGGGCAGGAAAAAGGATTTGTCAGAGGAGAGAGTACAGTTGCGCACAGCACAAGAAAGGGCAGGAAAAAAGAAAAAAAAAAAAATTGATAAACAGAGCATGTGACAAAAAGGGCCACCTGGGTTTCACTGCTCAAGAGAGCTCTTCATGTTTTTTGTTTCTTATGTGAAACATAGCTGTCACATAATTATGAAATTTATTAAATTTCATTTTGAAGTACATAAAATTCCTTTTAGGTTGTACTTAAATTTGGCATAATTTCATATCAATGAATGTTGAGAAAATTATTTTTAAATTAATAATAAATATTATAAATATTAAAAAATAAAATCATATATTTTTTCATAAATTTGAAATTAATTTTGAAAGATATGTCAGGCATATAATTTTTTTTTCTTTAAATTAAAGGAGAAATTAAAAATTAAAAAAATTAAGATTTGAGTTTTCTAATATATTATGAGTTTTTAATGTTATTAATTTAAACTTTAAATTTTTGATGTATTTTAATCTAACATATTTACGTATTTATGTTAAGTAAAATTGATGAAAATATGAGTATTATAAGCAAATGATTTAGATTAAAATAAGTCAAAAGTTTAGAATTTAAATTGATAAAATTAAAAATTCATAGTTTATTTTGTTATAAGACTAAAATCTTGGCTTTTTTTTTTTGTAATTATTCCTAAATTTGAATTTGAATTTGAATTTGAGAGTATTATGGTAATGGATTAGGATGAATTTGAAATAAGGAGGGTTAATTATGTTATGATCTCTTCAAAATCAATATGATTATTATTGAATATCATTTTACCCCTTTGTGCTTTCAAAATTGAGCATTTGTACAATTTTTATAATTGAACAGATTAAAATATATGAGTTTTTAAATTACAGATAATGTAAAATTTACTATAATTATGCGGTCTTGATATAATTAACTCAAATAACAATGTAGAAATAGATACTTGAAATCCTTCGGTAGGAATTATAATTAATTGTGTGGAGAAAAAGACCTGGTTTGGCAATTACTTTTTTGTTTTAGCAAAAGAATTTATTTATTTTTTAAAAAAAAAAGCATTTTTAAGTCTTAATTAAGTAGAAGACCCTAAATTTTTTTATATACAAAAAATGAAAAAATCCACCAAGATCAAAAGGAAAAAATAATTTTTTATATGTATAATATATATATTTTTTTTAATCCTTCAAGACTATACTACCTTGAAAGGGGAAAAAAATTATCATAATTTGTTTAAAAATTAACTAAAGGCAAACAAAAAAATGTAAATTTGTTTAGCCTATGCCAAACAGAATCGTAATAAAATATTTATCTTCCCCTATTCTTTTATTTTTCTGATGTATAATAGTTGACTCTTTTATATTTTATAAACCTCTGTTTGTTTGTAAAATTTAACTTCAAATTCTTTGAACTATACAAATGAAACCTTAGATTATATTTCAATAAAAAGAAATGGAAACCTCATTGCTGAGACTGTTATTATTACTAACATTGAAATGCTAATCTTATTATTAAGAATTTTGTAAATAATTATAAATTTTTTTGTTTAAATATTATTAAGTGTTTGGCTTCATTAAAAATCTTATATAAAAAATAACAAAACATATTGCAGACCCAATTATAATACAGATTTTTACTTAATTAGTGAATGATTCTTACTAAGAATATTTTCTTGCTAAAATAAGATACCAAAAAATGAAAATATGCTCTCTTTTTTTTTTAATAGTTTAGTATTCTCATATTTTTTAATAATAATAATTCAATTACTAAAATCAAACTACCTATAGTGCCCACTTTTTTGAAATTCTATTTTTATGGGACACCTATGCCTGTGTTTGGTAAGGGCTTTTTCAGGTTTTTTTGGCTATTTTAGTCACAAAAAATAAAATAGGCTATTTTAGCTATAACAAACAAAACATCACATCCAACCTATAATCATTACATTCTTCTCTCACAAAAAAAGTCAAAAAAACTAAAAAGTCAAAAAGCCCTTCCTAAACCAAGCTTTTTAGCCCAGGCTAAAATAACCAAAAAAATCAAAAAACCAAAAAGCCAACCCACTTCCCAAACGGAGGTAGTGCATTTGTACATCTGATTTGTGAGCTCTCCAAATATCAAGGTGTCGGGGGCACGTTCTTTCTACATATTTAATTGTCCTGCAACTTGCGTGCTAAGGTTTTAATTTTCTTTTTTGAACTTGGTTATCATTTAAAACACTTTTCAGAAAATTATACTTTCTTATTTTTCGTATTTTTTTTATTTTTATTGAATTTTTTTAATATTTTGAGCAATTTTTAAAATTTTTACACATACCTAACATAAATATACTTAAAAAGTAAAAAAATTTGAAAAAAACCTTTTAAAAATTCACTAAATACCAAAAATATAAAAAAAAAGTACGATAATTCAGTACATTTTTTTTATATTTTTATGTATTTATTAATTTTAAAAAATATTTTTTCACAAATTTTTTACTTTTTAGATACATTTAAGTAAGGTGCATCTAAAAAAGTAAAAAAAAAATGTTTAAAATTTTAAAAATATTCACTAAAAATAAAAAAATACGAAAATCAAAAAACTCAATTTTTTAAAAACTTAATCCAAAAAATTCAAACCAAACACACTGATTGTTATTTATTGGCAAGTTGTGATTTGATTAATGCTATCTAGTCTTTCCTAGTTAAATACAATACAATGGCCTCGTTTGGGAAGTGGCTATTTTAGTAGGCTACTTGGCTTTTTGGCTATTTTAGTAGGCTATTTTAGTTTTTGTGTTTGGGAAGTTGAGATGAATTTTATTTGAGTTGGTGTATTGGAAAATGTGTTGAAATGATGTTTGAAATTAGAATGACAAATTTGCCCCTAAAAATATATTTTTTTAAATTGTTGTCAAGGGATAAAACCGTAATTTACCATTGATGGGACAAATTTTGTAGCTGACAGTGTAGGCACAGCCTGCACTGCCGCTGTGCAGTCCTATTCTTTCTTTTTTTTTTAAAAAAAAAAGCTTGCAGAAGTGGCTTTTTGGCTAAAAAAAATTTTTAGGCTATAATAGCCGCCCAAACTACTTCCCAAACAGCCCCAATAATAGGATTACTACAATCAAGGTTCAAAACCTTTGACTTGTTGCCTCTGCTCCAACACAGGAACACTTTTGCACAAAAATTGACTGGTGGCTGTCGGCCACCCCAATTGGCCGGTCGGCTAGTATAAGTGGCCGGTCGACTACCTCAAGTGGCTAGTCGGCCACCTGCTTTTCCAAACTTCTGTTTTTGCTGCAACAGAGGCAAAGCAATGCATTGTTCAAGGAATGTGAGTACTGCCACCCTCCTTATCATTTCTCAAGCTCAAAGGAGTATGACACTTGGCTCTCAAGCCACCAATCGAGCATTTTTAATGCGTGCTTGGCCAAAGAGCCAAGCTTGTACAAGCTTAATGAATGCAAAAATAAGACTCAAAGTACCACTACCCTATCATGCATGATCAAGGGTGACGGCGACCAAGAAACGTGACGCATTTCATCACTTTGAGTATGAAAACTTCTTTGAATTCTTGGCGACCAATAAAGTAAATAAAACTGGTTTTCTGGATCTGAGTCTGGGGGTTTTTTCTGGGGCCTTCTCTGCTATTTATACTTCTCAAGGATAACCATCGAACTGCACTTCTAACCGTCGAACCGCTCCTCCATGATCGCTGATCATGTTGCCTTATAGTTAGCTCCACTATGCCATTGCCTGCAGTTAGGCTTCCCTCTTGAGTTTGAATTCAAATGTGAGTAACCGTTGAAGCCACATCACTTTGTATCTCTTTGCTGATCCAGTACTACGTAGATCTTTATGAAAACCAATACTAACTGCCACGTGTACGATCATGATCGAAGGTTTGAATTGTCTTCTCATATTACCCTCAACTTGCCACGCGTCGAACTGTGATTGGCCTGTACAAAATATATAGCCAACATTACCCCCCGCACTAATATAACCAATACTTGGTGATATTAGTAGATCAAGGCATTTTACCACGTCTTAAAATGTGCATGGGATTTTGCATTTCTCATAAATGCAACTGTCATTCATCATTTGCATTAAATTCTCTTCTAACCCTTGAACACTCCCACTATCTCAGTATTCGAAAAGACTGATACATCTTTTATGACTAAGCCAATCTTTTCTTACGTTGATCAAGCATACGAAGAGTTTTTTGATGATACTATTCATCTTGGAAAGAACCTTCATGCATTGATTAGCCACCTTTATCCACCTCTATTTATATAAGTTATGGAAACTTTCGCAAGTCATCATCCTTCGAACCAAGAACCTACTACTTACGATTCTCTAGGACACAAATTTGCGATCATGGATGTCGGAAGCTCTTCTTCTGGAACGAAACTATCCGCGTGGGACAAGGCTGCTGCTGCTTCTTCTTCTTACATGGCTTCTGGCTAGGGAACTTGGTCCACTACTGCTCAACCTCAGACAAGGGAACGCATTCATCATCGTTTCCCTAAATTCGATGACTTCCTTGACATTCCTCCTTCCAAACGCAGTTCAGTAGTATATCCATATGTTTCTATTAATCGTAGCCGCAGTCTTGAAGACAATCTGCTTACATCATGGTACACTTCTACCTTGCCATCTCGGGTGGTTCGAAGTGTCCTGCATCCCGTTGAAACTCTAGGGATCAGCCTTGCGCTTTTAGCCAAAAAGGCAAAACTTTACCCCTCCGATTGGCTAGAATGTGTGACCAGGCCTGAATTTCTGGACTTACCCAGGGAACCTCCGACTGCTCCTCCTCTTCCTTCTAACCCAGATTGGATTAATGAGTTGAAGCTCACTCTCTCT